TTGTCCCAGGAAAAGGGATTTGTCAGATAAATTTTAATTTTTGGATTGTGTTTGCCTGTCTGACACAGAGACAGCCACAGGGTGTCCCTTCCTCTGAGGGCACTGTCACCCTAGGAAATAAATTCACTGTATGAAATAAAACAATGTGGAGATGCTGCTGTTCTCAAGGTAAAAAAGGGGAGTTTGTTTTCTAATTCCAGCATTTATAGATTTCCAAAAGTGACAGTGGATTGGAGGGTGACAGTGCCACCTCTCCGATGACACTGCACAAACCAACAGCCCATCAAATTTCTCCTCCTTCCTAAAAGAATGCAAATCAATGAGTTATTTACATAAAGTATGTGAGAAAATTCGTTACAAGAGTGTAAAGATCAGAAAGCTTAGAAAATCTTAAAAAATCAGGGTGACAGACACCTCCTGCTCTTTTGGGGAAATATTTCCATTTCCCCTGCTTTACATGGATTGCATGAGTCCAGGAGGAGCTGGAGCCAGGATTCAGCCCCTGAGTGCCACAAATCCCTGTGTTATCCTGAAAATATCCTGAAAATATCCTGAAAATATCCTTTGTGAGTCTCTAGGATGAGGCACCAGTTCAGGAACTCCTCCAGTTCAAGGTGGGAGAATTTGGCCTCCTGCAAGCAGGAAATGACTGCAGTGACTCACTGCATTTATTGGCCAGTAAATCACATCAGAGGCTGCTCCTCTTTCTATTCTCCTCCAGCCCTTATCTTTAGTAAGGTGGTTTTATCTTTTTGTTTATAGCTTGTGATTAAATCCACGGTAAAGCAGGAATTGGCCTGGGTTTGGTGCAGGTGTTGACCTACACTCGTGAGGAATTGACCTTTCTGTGGCACAGAAATGGCCAAAAATGCAATCTTTAGACATGAGAAAATAAGTGGATTTTCAAATCTGGTGAGGAATTGACCCATCTATGGCAGAGAAAAGGCCAAAGTGCAATTTTGAGCCCCAAAAAGAGAAGTGGATTTTGAAATCTGGTGAGGAATTGCCCTTTTTTGTGGCAGAGAAAGGGCCAAAAATGCAATTTTCAGTCATGAGAAGAGAAGTGGATTTTCAAATCTGGTGAGGAACTGACCCTTCTATGGCACAGAAAAGGCCAAAAATGCAACTTTCAGCCATGAGAAATGGATTTTCAAATCAAGAATTGACCTTTCTATGGCGCAGAAAAAGCCAAAACGCAATTTTCAGCCACAGAAAGAGAAGTGGATTTTTCAAATCTGGTGAGGAATTG